GGAAGTCTGCAAAAACAATGGGGTATTTTGCTCAAAGAGTTGTTTTTAAGGGAGTTTAATTATAAGCTGTCTGATGTGCTCTCCTTTGAGCACAGTTTTGACTTACTCGTTTCAACTTCAGTGGCACACAAAACATTCATTTATGGCATAACTTTTTAGAGCAGAATGGCAACATCCATTATTCTAATGCTCTTGCAGAGAGAAACAGAAATTTCAGACCAAAGCTCCCTCCATGGTGATCCTGTTACCCCTTCAAAGTCTAGGAGCACGAGCTCAAGCAGATAACTAAGCTACCTGCTTAAAACAGACTGGCGAACTGAAAACTATTCTCTGCAATTGAAAAAATCATCATTTTACACAGAAACACCTTAAGTAACAGTTTTTGAAGTATTCCCACTACCATCTGGACTATGGATTACAGGTTTATATATTACAGAGCTCTTGCCAGTCTCCCTTGTCTCCTTGCTAAACAGAAACCCTGCCATTTTTTAAAGAGGCACTAAATAAATAAAAAAAGTTACAACAATAAAAGAAAATAAAAATTAACTTATCAGAGAACTATATCTGGGGAAAGGTAGAATGTGTATTTGCAGTGAAAGAAAATTACTTAATGTATTAATTGTGATATATGAGTCAAAGGACTCCACTGATCATAAGCATTGTGGAAAATAAAACTGCTTCCAAAATACCAAAGAAAAGGCAAAGATATTACTTGTCACTGCACTGCTCAACAGTCACTGTAGAGTAACAGTTAAAGAGTAGAACCCCATCCTGCTTAGTGCACTGTATTTTCTCCTTTCTCATGCATTAAATATGTATTTGTCAGAGTTGCCCGTGACTTCATGAAAATATAGTTTCACTTTTCACTATCATTTTGTAACAAAGAAGCAAGCAGAAAGGGGACAAATTTATTAGTTAATATACAGAAATATTTAAACTATAAACCTGTCATGATTCAGATATGTAAATTGACTCCTTCCAATATTCTCCCATTTCCTCCACAATCCATAGCTATTCAGAGCTTGTCAAATCATCCTTTTGTCCTCTAAAGTATTCTGGAACAGTATCTTCTGATGACAGTGACATTTAGTGATGACAGTAAAGCTGATAAACTGATTATTGGGTTGCTATCATTTCCTATTCTCCTCCCCCATTTCTATAAAGCTGGAAAAAAAAATCTACTACCTGTGCTGCATTAAGTAGTTCTTTTAGCCTTTTCTGCAATAATAGTCTCAGTAAAACTGAGCCACCTGCAGACTGAAGAAAAATTACGCTAACCTGAACTACTGTTTTTTGTGCCTATGAAAGTACTCTCATGTCTACATTATATTAAGGATAACATTGTGCTACTAATATAGTTAGTGATCAAGAGATTAATAGCTGATTCTGCTATTTAAAACAGCAGAATGTTGGCTACCTTGGTTGTCAAGGAAGAGACCCTTTTAAAGCTGTAACTTCATTTGAATGGAACAGAACAGAAGGGAACAGAACAGAATAGAACAGGGCACCAGGGAGAAGAGCTCAGCATCTCCCTCTCCACTTCCCCTCCTTAGGAAGCTGAACACAGCAGGTCTGATGTTGCCCTTCAGCCTCCTTCTCTCCAAACCCAGAGTCCTCAGCCATCCCTCACAGGACATGTTTCCAGCCCTTTCACCAGCTCATTTGCCCTCCTCTTGACTCATTCAAGTAACTTCTCATCCTTCCTAAATTGTAAGGCCCAGAACTGCACACAGCAGCCAAGGTGAGGCTGCACCAACACTGAATATAGTGGGATAATCACCTCCTTTGATCTGCTGGTGATGCTGTGTTTGATGCACCCCAGGATGCAGTTGACTCATATTGACCCTGCTGTGAACCAGCACCTCCCCATCCCTTTCTGCAGGGCTGCTTTCCAGCCACTCCTCTCTCATTTTATGCTTGTGGCTGACATACTTTCCACTAGCTAGTCTTTCCTTCAAAATCCTTCTGTCTACCAGCTGAAAACTGAGAGCTCTTGCACCTTTTGCAAATGCTTATCTTCATATCTTTGACAAGTATTCTTAAAACAAAAAAAGCAATATGCAAGCCAACTACAATTGATTTCTGCCTGAAGTTAGCCTCATATTTGCAAACGTCCCCTCTTCTTTTTATTAAGCTTAAATTTCATTCTGTTCATAGTGAATTTAGTAGGCTGCAATCTGAGTTTTAAAGTCAGGTTAAAATGTGGCAGAAAGAACTGTTTTAGAGATCTTACCATGCTTCTGATAATTGTATAAATATTACTTACTCTTCATTAGGGAAATGCAGGCAGAAGGAGAATCCAACTTAGAGTAGCCCTGCAAGTCACTAGGTCATCTAGGAATAGAACAAATTAATCCGAACTCCCTGTTGTTCCCAGTCTACTATATCATGCGCTGGTTAGCTATACTTTCAAAGGGCTTGATTAATGAGCACATATGCAGGAGGAGACTTAATCAAATCTTCCCTTTGCTCCAGCTGGTGAAGGCACTCATGCTTCGGTTAAGAGAACTTTCCTCCTAATTGGCACTGTCCTCTCACCCCTCAGAAGGCAGTTTCTAGAAGCCTGACTCCACAGTCTTCTCGCTTGGTGCGTACCTGTGCTCGCTAATGAAAGCACAGCAATTTCTATCAGCTATTAGTCAAGACCATGAGTTTAAATAGAAAAAAAGGCTTCCACCCCTGCTCATGGCAAGAGTCCTAATCAGTATGAGATCTCTGTGCACGTATAGTGACTCACAAAAGTTAAGACTGCATTTATTGTCTTCTGTGAAGGTAGATCAAGACCTTAATTAGAAAAGAATGTAATATTTTTCTATTTGACACCTTCAGCTCTTGTTTCTATATCACTATTACTTCAGAAGAATAAGATACAGCTAAACGTAAGTCAGGATATTAAATCTGCTTCTTATTGAATACATTCAGAGACCTTCTGGCTATACACTTTAGCATCTCCACTATTTCAAAAATGCTGTAAAATTTTATTATGTCATTTTGATCAATTTTACACTGAGGAAATGACAGCAGATGTTCTACTTCTTTCTCAGTAGAACAAAACCAGAAAAGTTGCATGCACAGGCTCCTGCCCTCTCAATTCAGCTTCCTGGAATTTATTTCACTTTACATTTCCAACTTGCAAGTTTCTCTTTTTCTAATAAAGGTATCAATGCTGATAAACTTTTTCCCCAAGATACTTTTCTCTTGACAAATAATAGAACATACTCTGTTTCTCAAAACCTTGATCTGTGCGTCATTAAAACCTCCATGTAAGTTCTGATCCCCTGTTTATACAAAAGATGAAAGATGATACAAACACGCAAACATGAGTGAAACACTAAACTACTTTTTACCACTACTTTTACAAAACCATGAAAATGCAAAAATCTTCCCCATGGTTTTGTTTATTATATTTCATTCTCCTCAAGTCCCTTCTACCCTTCCCCTGCACCTCCACAATTTTTCAGCAGTTTTTAGTATTCCATATTTCAAACGAATATACAGAGAATTTGGCTTTCTGAGAATTACGCTGTTGCTTGAGTGAATTGGACTAATAGTCTAATGACTGAAAGATCTCCCATTAATTCTTGTAAACTTGATGCTATCTTGCTACTTTATATCCCCCAACCAAAACAAAATTACTCTGAACGAGATTTTCTCTGTTTCCATCCCTCTCTCTGTCTAATAGGTTGAGACATATAAATGACAAGTGGTGTGATGCCTATAAGAGTGCAAACTAAAATTCACAGATGTACTGCCAGACATAGTACTTTAT